CTCTCTCTCTCTCTCTCTCTCTCTCTCTCTCTCTCTCTCTCTCTCTCTCTCTCTTTTTGGTACTGGGGATTGAACTCGGGTCCTTGTGCTTGTGAAGCAGGTGGTGAAACCACTGAGCTAAATCCCCAGGCCCATCCATGTCCTTTATCTTAATCATGGCCACAGTGATCATGTGCAGCTGGCTTTTTCACGGTTATAGCCATTGGACAGCTTGTCCTGAAGAACATGAGTAAGGAGAACTTCGCTGAGCCATTAAACGGCTGTACTGATAAACTGTGTTGTGCAGAGATCGATTTGTCTTATATTTTGCAACATACACAGAAGCACTGCATTCACTTGCGATTAGATGTTAAAGTTAGAGAGTGGGGTGAAAATCAGCTGTAGGTAGAAATACACTTAAAAGCTTCCTAATGCCAGCATTAGCTATTTAAGACCGAAAGATAACATGCTTATATATTTATTTTTCTTGGGAAGTAAAAGTTAAAGCAAGATGGGGAGTCATGGCTGATAAAGATATCTTTTTTAACTCTCTCTCAGTTTCAAACATACAGTTAGATTTGAATAGGCTACATATGATAATAAAATAAAGCAAAAATCAAATGCTTAATATGAGAATATATATTCTGGTGAAAACCAAACAAGCTATGATCATGCTAGTTAGGTAATACAGTTGAAAATCGCACAATCCAATCATTAATCTGAAACTGTCATTCATCACCTCAGTGAGGTTGGTGCTTTTGGTTTAAAACAGATTTTAACGATACCTAAGCAGAGAGCACTTACCAAGCTTCAGTGAGAAGCTGTATTCTTAGTACAATGCAGAACTTTGAATCCATGTCACTTGATCTCAAGGCAAGTGATTGGGTTCTGGGCTGCTCTTCTAGTGAGAGACCCCAACAGAACACATTCAGAGCAGGGGCAGAGAACAGTGCCACACATGGTACTTACTTGTTAATACAGTGATGGATCTGGATGTCTTGGTAACCGCATTTCCATTTACCACTACCAGACTGATTATATAATAAAGGCCATGGTAACTGGCTTTAAAGGTAACAGGAGGAGGCAAAGTGCTGTTGAATTCCTCGAATTCGAAGAAATAATTTTTGGATTCGCCAGTTATCTTCACAACATACACAGATGCAGGACTGGCCACATCTGAAGCTTCCAAAGAGACAACGATGTTATTATCATCTTGAACAGTCACATGGAAAGTTGTAGCATTCTGTTGAAGGAAAAAGAAAGAAAAGAAATACAAGTCAAATTCAGGTTATGAGTAGTACAGTTATATGGAGATTATTTTTCTAAAACTGTGGCTTACTGGGTGTGATGGTTCACATCTGTAATCCCAGCACTCTCGAGGGGCTGAGACAGGAGCACTGCAAGTTCAGGCCCAGCTGGACAACTTATTGAGACCCTGAATTAAAATTTTAAAAATTTGAAAAGGGACTTGGTATATAACTCAATGCAAGGCCGTGGGTTCAGTCTCCAGGATTACAGGAAAAAAAAAAAAAGTAAAACTGATGTTTGTGGTAAGCATTGTTTCTTTAAAAAGAGTTAGATATGTACTTTAGTAATGCAAGAAAAGTCAGGAAAAAAAAGAAACATTATTTGTCTTATGATGAGTGATTTTCCCAGGATGTTAGCTGAGGATTCTCTCCCATGAAAGCTGTGTCTGGTTGATAGACTGTCATGTGATAGACACAAAAGAAACATGAAGGAATAAAATCATCACAACACAACACTCCACACCCAGGGAAGTCCTTGGGTTCGGCTAAGCTGGAGAAGAGACACTCCTTCCACTGTAGGGGTGAGGCTGTGGTACCACTGGGAAAATTCGGGAGAACAGTTCAAGACAATGATTTCCTCTCTCACCCTTCAACTATCCATTGCAGAAGTGATGAAAAATGTGCCAATTGAGTCACCTGTAAAAATCCCATTCTTTAAGGTTTAACCAGCTCTTACGAAGAGAATCTAAAGAGAAGAGGGACCAGAATGAAGACCTCAGGCACCTGTGGGAAAACCAGCCATATGTACACTGAAAACTTTGCTTGAAGCCTCCAAGTGAAAGCTGATAAGCAGTACTTGTGAAGCAGGCTTAAACCCTTCTTCCAGACTCTGTTTCAGATCCCTTATGCAGAAATACGTTATCTTTGCTCTTAAGCAAGGTGCATGTGCTTCTACCACCTATTGTTTTGAATTTAATGTATCTTCTGGGCACTCGTTGTCCTGCTTGGAGCCTCAGATTCCCTTGTAGAGTACGGGGGCTGAAGAATGGCCAGAATGGTAAACTATCTACAAAGGTCCAGGTACTCTTCAAATAAAAAGTGTATCATTAATCAAATTATCTATAAGTCTTCTACAAATGAACTCACCTAAGGGTCAAAGTGACTTTGTGAAACCACGTTATTAGTTTTAGTCTCATTTTGAAAATGAGAAGACTGAGGCTCAGGAAGACAGGTCACTTGCCAGGTGTCAAGAGTACGAAAACAAAATGAGCTCCTCCGTGTCTGTTTTCTCCTCTTGACTCTTTTTCCGAATGCCAAGTCTGTCACATAGTTCCTGACCAAAAAGTACCTGTGGAGTTTGTTCATTGCATGTGGACATCCAACTTTTAAGACGTAACCTAGTTATTGGTTGACATATTGTTCAGGCACATAGTACACATCAGTGCCTCCCAAAGAGACTTTATGAACCTAAAAAATGCACTGATACATTTTTCTTGGCTTATTGTTTAGACATCTAGTGTTTATGCCTCTTAGTACTTACAAACACTAGCTGACATGAGTCAAAATTTAATTCTATAGCAACATTAAACATACTAAATCGTATTGATTTTCTAACCATAGTAGATTATAAGTCCTTTCCAGTCAGGACCATATCTTGTTTCAACTGCAGCTTCAGGTTCAGTGCCTAACACGTGCTAGGTGCTTCTTGAGGTGGGTGGTCCTGGATGGAGCCCTGGAATATGAGATGGTCATTATGGATTAACTTTTAAAATGTCCATTTACTCTCATTGTCTGTCATTCTCAGATGTAGGACAGAAGACACTTGTTCTGTGGGTGCCTGGTCCCACTACATACACTGACCATGAACAAGACTGTTGGGAGGTGATGATCAGGTTTACCCAAAGGGAAGGGTAACGCAGGGATGGCCTTCTGCCATTAGGGTAAGACTAGCCCAGACATGCTCTAGCTTTCTGCTTTCTAAGTCTTCCTCCTTGCTGTTGGGTATGAATGGCATTGCCCATAGGGACCACTGCATTCTGGACTGAACTATCTACCTGTCTTGCCCCTACTTTGGAGGAAGAAATCTGTCAATAATGCAGAGCACTTCCCTGCACAGTTCCCTTTGGAAGGACAGATGCACTGACTTAGAAGATAGGATAAGCTGGCTCTGCCCCACCTAACCTTCCTTCCTCTACCACTGTTCCCACCCTACTTCTTCCAGGGGAAGGCTGGAAGGGAAAGAAGGAAATATCAGGGAACCAAGTGCCTTCAGTGGAAGCAACCAAGACTAAGAAATGGAAGAGCAGGGACAGGCAAAAGGAAAAGTATGATTGCTTACATACATGGGACCTATTGGGACCAAGGCCATTCCAAGGGCAATAGGGGCAGATCTTTTTCCCTGTGGGGATGAGAAGTGCTCTCCATCTGTTCTTTCTCTCTTCCTTGGTTAATCTCAGAGCTTCCTACTCCATGTTGGACTTTAAGCACCTGCTAGAGGAAAGGTTTACTCTACACTCTACCTGAGTATCAGGGAATGGGGCTGTCTGGAGTTTATCATGGCAACAGCTACTTTATCCCCTCTGTAAACAGTGTTATAACTCATCCTCAACCTCTCAAACTCAGAATAGAAGCAGTAGGCTGAGGGTCCCCGGAGTCAGGGAAAGTGAGGCGAGCTCCTCTGACCTAATTTTATCTATGGTTAACATCTGTGCCCATTGGTCCTTTTTGGCTAACAGAGGAAAAATATCCTCTGTTTCTCATTTCCCCATACCCAGGTCAAACACACATGCACAGGTTTGTAGCCTTAAAAAGAAAAGCTGATATTAGATTGTTAGTACTGGTTAGTGCTAACACCAGGGTACATTAAGACCCAGCTAAGCCAGGCTCATTTGTCTGAGAATATTTCAAAATAAATTGTATGTTCTCCACCATAGTATTCCATCAACTAAGGCTTCAAATTAGTAGTAGCATACTTACAATTCAAACAGTTGTCAGTACTTTTGATACAATGAAAAGGTCCACATTGCTGCCATGAAAGTTTGATTTCCTTTCTTTTCTCTTCCTTTTTCTTATCTACTCACTGGTAATCAAAGACACACCCTAGCCTTCTATCCCATACCTGTATTACACTGCCAACATTTCATGGCTGTATGGGTCTCCCATGTTGTACCCATGCCCTGAAGCTTGGCTCTGTCAGTGTCTGCTGCTGAATCAACAGTGGGTATGCAAAATAGGTCAAGAATGTTGGATCAATGCTTTGGTCATCAGAATCTTAGAACAGCTGTTCTTGATGTCATGGCTGTTCCTTGCTCAATGGAGCAGGGCAGTGCCAGCGGCCACCAGAGGACCAAGCCCTGGATGCTGTGAGTAGAATATTTGTTGATCAGTATAGAGTGGTGGTAGATCACAGATGTGCAAGAGGTGACCATACAGCCCGAAGTTCCAGGCCTCAAGAGTGTGGCAATGCCCTCCCAACCCACAACTGTGCCATGAAGGATGTTGGTACAGTTTGCCACAAAAATGAAGATGGAGTAACGGGGAAGTCATTTTGCATCTATCTTGATGAAGTTCTTTGTCCAAGAGTGTACTCGTTCTTGCCTCCTCCTTCCTCTCATACTCTGAAGACTCGCTCTTGCTCCTGCCCGTCCATCTGTTGCTAACTCTACAGGTCCAGATCCTTTCTTCACCCAGGGAACTGGGTCTTCCTCTAGCAGTACCAGAGAGATTACTGTGGGTTGTTAAGTTGAATTTCTAGAATGAAACAAAGAGCCCACATTCCTGCTCCTGCTAGGACTTCAGGTGGGAAAAGCAACTAACATGTAGGTTGACTTTCACATCTCCTGCCTCACCCACTACCTTTCCTTTCAAAGAAAATAAACAGTGTTAGCACATTTCTGATTAAGACTGTGACATTAAAAGCAACAACACAACTAAACCTAAATAAGTAGTGTATCTAAGGTCTCCAGCAATACTTCTTAAACTTCTCTTTAATTTTATTTTTTGTGGCACCAGAGGTTGAACCCAGGGCCTTCACACTGAGCTATATTCCAAGCCCTTTGTTTATTTTAAATTTTGAGACAAGGTCTTTTTAAGTTGCTAAGTTTCCTCAGCTAGACTTGAAGCCCTGATCCTCCTGCCTGTCAGAGTGCCAGGATTACAGGTCTACACCACCATGCCAATACTCCCTGCAAATTTTAACTTCTATTCCTTGGCTTTCCTCAGGATTCTCTACAGACAAACTTTATGAGAAGCTGCCCGGAAACGGCAAGAATGTCCTCCTGGGTGGGAATGGCTCAAGAAAGAGTAGAAACACCCATATTGATGGAGGTTATTAACTATATTTTCATTAAGTAGCACACAGTGCTAAGTACTGAGGACTCCAAGTCAGCAGGAGCTTGAGTTTGGTGATGGTCACAAAATGCTTAGCAAATGGGAAATTCTACTGATGAATAAATAACTGATTGAAAAATTTAACAAAATGTGCTTTTTCATGATGATTTTATAAATACTAAACATACTTTAGAATTTATTTGGAGTGTCAGAATTTTAGTATCCCAGTGACCTAAAAATGGTTAAGCCCTATTGTCCACAAATATATATATATATATATATATATATAT